TTAGTCTAAATTTAGACTAACTGGTCTAAATTATGTCTTGCTTCATCTGAACTACCATGCTACTTATTGATTCAGAACTTTACTAACATTATCATAGCTATTCGTCAAGGTGCTTGTCAAGGAGCTGTCGAGGTTGCAATACCTGGAGCGGCTGGGGTTGACATTCCCGAGGTCCATCCTCGTGGAACATCAACCCGGGGTCCCGGGGACTGACACGGATCTGCCCGCTGTCGAACACTATGTTCGGCAGTGGAACAAGCAGATCTTCGCCACGATCCCTGCCCTTCAGCAGGTGGCCTTCATTCATGGAGACATTGTGTTGAGGGCAGTAAGGGGGGCGGATGCCACCATTCGTTTCTCTATCGAGACCGATTTGGATCGGCATGCGTTTCCCTTTGGGATTCTCTACTGAGCTTTCTCAGTACAGCCGTTGGCTATAAGCGCAAGGTCTCGCCTGTAAGTCTTGATGATGTTTCCACGTTGAGAGTATTTGCTAACGTATTTGGGAAGACAGTCTGCATCAAGATCGAAAGGTCGTCTTTTTTCCCCTTCGCCGTTTACCGTCGCTTTTCGCCCCCTTTTCGCCCCCTTTTCTGAGCAACCTCGATACAACGCTCGCTAAGATCACACTTCGCGAAGTAAGTCGATCGCGGCTTCTGTATCAAACAACTGTCAGGCGCTACTCTCCTCCGAGGGTGGAAGGAGCACCTTCCTTGGGACAGTGACCTCACTCGCACCTCCTCACACCGACCTTACTATTAGACTCGAAACCTTGATCTTTAACACACACGATCAAATTTTTCTCCTCCATCATCCTCTCTTTCACCGAGTACACCCTTGCTTTCGCACCTCCCTTGAGCAAGCCTTGGGCGTTGGAGAATGCAGAAACGTTCATTATTTCAGAACGAAGAGTCCAAGCGACGGCGGAAGTGGCAAAGGCGTTGACGCCCTCATCGGCCACCAATCGTCANNTATTGCCCTGTGAGCATATCTGAAGCGTGGAGTTGTGGACTATATGTTTGTTTGTCTTTTTATTTGAGAATTCGGATTTTTTCTGTTAGTGATCTGCAAAACAGCACTTTTCTGTAGAGTTACAAAGGGGGAGAGGGAATGATACCACAATAATACAGAACATCATACATGGATGAGTTTACACGAACAATATCGCTGCTGTCACTTTGAGAATGTTCCGTATTAATATCAACATTATGTTCACCTCAAACATTCCACTTTCTCAAGATATCTTCGTGCATGTCATGACAGTAGTTACGTAAAGTCCAAAGAACATTGCCTTTATCACTGTGGTGTCTCAAAATGAGCCCCCTGTAGCAGAGATGTACATCCAACATGCGCAAACACTGACCCCTGACTTTCCCAAGAATCTAGCATACCTCTTGTCGAGGACGTCTTTCCCGCCGATGATGTGCTCATACTTGCGGGTGGTAACCGTGATCTCACGGATCAGGCGGCGAAGCCCCGGATGGGTCGCAAACAAGTTGTCAAGCTATGTACAACTGGATTTGGTCATGGCGTAACACAGACACGCCGAATGAGAGCCAGGCTTGCAGTGAAGAGGACGCCCGTAGTCGAGGAGTCGGTTTATACACTCCTTGCATGAAAAAGCAACATCAAGATAGTCCTCCAGGTTGCAGCCAAAGAAACTTGCTTTGTTACAAGTGCTGGCCCTACATATCTCGCTGATATTACAAGTTCTAGTAACTAAAATTACCTCTGGCACATTGCAACTACTGCTGAAAAAGTCCCCATGACCACTAAAGAATAACAATTACCACATTCAAGGTACAGTAGGGAGTAGCAGTGGCAGCCATACCCATTCTTTAGCCTGCCTGACAGTGCTAAGGCCGTCGGTTCCTAGCACTGGTGAATGTTTTCCATTTTCCTACTCCCAACGTACAGACAACCTACCTACCTTACCCGCTGTTCATCTTTTCAGAAATACAGACTCTCCAGCATCAACTTCAGATTCCTC